GCGGATACAGAGATATTTAATGACAGGGGAAATGTTCACAATATTGTCGAACATTAACTCTTCAGTATTTTCTAAAATTTCTAATGAGAATAGGCTTCTTTTAAATTTAAAAGAACAAAAAATTGGGGTAAAGTTATTTAAAAATTCTGCCTGTTCCTCAACTGAAACCCCTACTAGTTTGACTCAAATGTCAAAAATGATCTGAGGTTAGAAACTGTTAGAATGATGACAAAGAAAAGCTGATCTTGGGAGAGCAAGGCAGTAATAGAGGGTAAGACAGAAAGGACATTCTAGCAAGATTCCAGGATTAGCTGCAATGAGGGAAGGAAGAACTCAAGATGTCCAGATAAGGGGGAGTTTTCTTACCTATTTAGACCTGCGGGCCTTGAATCCGAAAGTTATGTTACCCCTCCAATTAATTCCTTTTCCAGTAAAGTTGTTTGCCACTGTGGTCTGAGACCAGAAGTTGCCCTTCCCCCATTATAAATCTTCCAAATGCTTCACAGTAAAAATTGTTTACCATGGGTGAAATAAATCCTTGTTTGCATCATGAGGTTATTAGGCAACTCAAAGAAGAGGGCTTACCATGTGTATCTGAAACTCCAAACAAAACCAAAGAGAGCACATTTGGAGAACTACGCTGTGTTAGACAGGGTTCTCTAGAGAGATAAAACCAAATTGCTGATAATTGAATATATTTACTTATAAAGATAATTAGATATATAACACAAGAAATGAACAGTTAAATTATATACAAATAGATATATAATATGAGAAATGAAGTTAAATTATGAAGTACAAATAGCTCAGTGCAACTCACTCCCGTGAGAGAGAGTTGTGAGACACTAGCAGTCCTTCAAGTCGAGTCTACTGCCAGGTCTTCCTCTATATAGAGAGCGAGCTAGGCTATGTCAGCACAGCAGCCAATCACAAGGCAGGTCACCAACCGCCAGCCAGGTCACCCATGGCCCGTCCCCAGCTCCAGCGATGTCTTAAAGGGACCTTAACTTACAGCGACACAGTTCACAGGCTAGGCGTCCCACAGGTAGTGTAACCTGTAAGTTGAGGCACAGAACAAGCAAGGCAGCCGCACACTGGTCCAAAGATCAAAGAGCGAGAAACAAGAAAGGCGAAGCTCAGCAAGCCATTTATCTCTCCGCCCTTCAGTTAATCCCACTTGTGTTTATCGGCCAGGCTGGCACAATAAATTATCTCATACGCGCAGTTCATTAAGCTGAGCATGCACAAGAGATGAAGTTGGAGAAGTGAGCAGCACTGTATGCTCTTCGAGGGGGTTATATTTCATCCTGTAGATACCATAAAGCTACTTGGAAGATAAGTATCAAAGTGACAGGGGTAGATAGGTGTGTAGTGTGATCTAATCCCCTCCAAACGTTTCATTATAAAAATTTGCAAATGCATTAAAATGTTTAAAGAATTTTTTTTTAAAGTAAAAAAAAACTGTGTCCACACATATAGCTGACCATTATTAATTAAGTCATGTTAGCTGTGATGGTTATGGTTATGTGTCAACTTGCTTGGGCCTTGTTTCTGTGGTTTTGGCAATTGTTAATGACAAAATTTAATAGTTATCCAATGATATACTTTCATAGCTAAGTGACAATCATTGACCATGTTATAAATGGTCATCCTCCATTTTCGCATAACAACATTTTTTTAGAACACTACTTTCGAATAATGTGACCTGGCCTTTTGGAACATAACCATAGCAAGAAGTGAAGGATGGGTCTGCTTGCCTAACCATTTATCTATCCATCCTGCTATCTCATTTCTTGTCAATGAAGATTATGTGTCAGAAAAAGGCAGTTAATGAATAAAAAGCAGGCTGTATTTCAAAATGTCAACAATGGTTTTACCTGGTTGGTGATACTGTAAGTGATAGGTATTTTTACAATTTCTTCCAAAAGAAATTTGGAATTATTTTTTTGTTTGTTTAACTAAAAGTTAATTTTATTTTCACGTGTCACAAACAAAAATCGTTTTGTTCTGCTTTTTGAGAGAAAGGAGGAGCAGGTCTTCCATGTTGTGCTGTTAGAAAACATCCAGAGTCGCAGCACCAGCTCTCCAGGTGAAGGGGTACGAGGAAGAGAAAAGCGATACAAAGAGGCTGTGCTCTGCCGTTATCTGTCTGGTCGAGTCCTTCCTGGCCGAGTGGGCACCATCATAGGACGGGCTGGGGGCCGCATCATTGGGGGCCCAGGCATCATTGGCATGTGGCCCCCCATGGGTAGCCTCATTCCAGGAGAGGGTCCCACTGGCATCATTCCAGGAGGAGGAGGGCCCATCTTGGCATCATGGGTGGTCCCCCCATGTGGGGTGCCGGCATTATACCAGGGCAAGGAGGGCCCGGGAGACTGGGGGGAGGCGGGATCATCGCCCCTGCTGAAGGAGGAGCAGAGAATGGAGTC